ACTTTTATACTTTTATATAAACTTCTACTTATTATTTATGTTTGAAAACATTTTCTGCCTTTAGCAATGCTTGACTTTGTTATTCATATTACTAATGAAGTTAATATTGTTACTATTAGCAGTATTATTCTTATTACTATCAAGATTTAGAATGTTGTTGCATTATCTCTATCATATTTCTTGTTGTTACTATTACTATTTGTTACTATTTATTATTATTATTATTATTATTATTATTAATTTCTATTATTATTATTATTATCATTACTAATAATATTAATTTCAGCAAAAACAATTGGTATGATTTCTGCAAAAAGTTATAATTAGAATCAACTGCGCACTTTTTATTAAAAATGAATAATGAGAATTACAATGTTGACAGTGATATCAATAAAATAATGATAATAATATTGTAAATAATCGACATGGCACTATAATATGTTATTAAGTGATAGTAATTGAATCTAGTAAATACATTGCACAGTATGACGAAGTTGATCATTTTTTTGTAGTTTCCTTAGTACTGTTAAAGGATAACTTTTAATTTAGCTTTCTGTGCTTATCGATAAATAATAGTTTAAATTACTTGCAAGTAATTTCAGTATTGCATTGAAATTTTTCAAAATTAAAATTTAAAGTTTAAATTTAAATAATTTGCACAATTTATGAAATTTGGAATGTAATTTATGCATATATTCCGAATAATTGAATTGCTATCAATTTGCGTTATCAATTCAATAAAAATCTTTCTTTCTAGCACAAATTTAAAAAAACTTAAAGAATAAATCAATTTGGTAATTAGTCAATTCGTTAATTAATCATATTTGTAAATTTGTTAACCAATTTGTCTACTTACTTTCTTTACTTATTAAAAGTATCAGAAATGTTCATTGTTTCTTAAAATAGAAAAAATAGAATTAAAAATAGAGTCATCTGAAACTTTCCCAGTGGTCACTATTCTTGTAAATGGCCATATATATGCATATAAACTAAATGCATTTCTACTACTCATTCAAAAACTTTTTAAATATTTAAAAGTAGCACTCAAATTTGTATCATTTCCAAAAGAATTATCCATTACCGAAAAAATTTGCATGTGAGATCATTTTGATTTCTAAAATAAACTGAGTAAAACTGAACAACATTTAAGGAATAAAACATTCTTAATTAAGAATTTTAAATGTAATAGGTGAGCTATTTTTGGAATAAAATTAGCATTCTGACCTTTTTTATTACCGAAAGGTCATATAATTAAAACAAAATTGTTATCATAAAATGTGTTTAGAGACAAATTTTCACTGCCAAGCTATCAATTTTATGCTTTCCAGAATGAATAAAAGATATTCGAAATTTAACAATATCCAGTATCTTTCAAGTTTAATTGCTAAACTTGTCGCCTCGAAAAATATTGCTTAAAACTATCAAAATAGTATTCAGTAAATTAGATCAGTTTGTGAGTATTATACTTTCTTTGAGAATATCTGAGATTTGTCCCAAATTCATACTTAACTTGTTCTATCTGCTAAGCTTAATATGCATTTGAGATTTGCATAGAAGCAAACATATGTGCAGAGTTCATGCCCTCAGTTGATATTTTCATCAATCTCTCAATATTTGTGATATTTGCAGTACAAAAAAATATTGCCACTACTCTTCGACAGTTTCCTCAAGCAAAATTTCTTCGTCATATTGCATTTGAAACATTTTGTTTTATGCACTGAATTGCCATAAACAGTTCTGCTTACTTTATTGTATTGCTCTTCGATACACTAATTTATGTATAACTTTAACAATTCAAATTATATCTCTCATTATTCTGCCTATCATCCGGATTGCTACAATAAAATTAGCATAATTATTTCTATAAGATATATTTTTATACTGTAGTTCTAATCTTTAAGCTATTAATTATTAACAAAGCTAATGTTAAAAAACGAAATAGGCGAAGTAGCATTTTTGATATGCTTTTTGATTCATTGAATTGCTTTACAAATTTGTAAGTTGCACGCCTACTTGTTAAATATTGTTTTATTTCTTGAGATGTTTAAATAAATCGAGTTAAATAAAATAAAATTTGAATAAAGTTGATTAAAAATGTATACTATGAAAAGAAGTTGCATTCAAATGTTCTATTTTTATATTACTCGTATAAATTTGATTAAATTACGTGACTTTGAGATCACGCTTTTTACATTACGAGAAATTTCTGAACTAGCCTTAAGTCACTTGCGTTATTACTATCTGACGAATGTACTGCCCTCGTCAAAGTCCCTGCGTGACACTATCTTCGGTACAAGCCATACTATCATCGAGTGATTGCAGTATTTAGTGCACAATTTCGAAAATTTTACGTTACTTTACGCTACAAATCTCTTTTTGCCAAATAAGCAAGGAATCAGTAAGAGTAGGAATATTGCACTGTTGATAAACAATTTTGTGGAAAATAAATGATTATCCCTTCACTTATGCTACACCTCTCAAGACTAAAATAACTCTCAACACGATCTATTAAGACTAAAATGAATTTCAAGACGATCTATCAAGACTAGACTGAATCTCAACACGGTCTCTCAAAACTAGAGTAAATCTCAGCATGATCTTTCTTTCTCAGATGTGCTTTCTACGCCTGCTTCCTTGGCTGTGGTTTCTCTATATATTCGATAGGAACACTGGAAATAGCGTTAATCCATTTATGCACATTTCAGTTTTATTTTTTTAACATATTGAAGTAAAATAAGATTTTGAATTAAGTTAATTAAAAACATATGAATTAGATTCATCTAACTAACAAGAGCCATAGTTACGAGTTATAAGTAATATTTATTTGATAATTGTATTAAAAATTACTTTTTTATAAAAATTTTCCAAAGATTTCATTCGCAATGAAAGATTTCGTGAAAATAGTTATTAATCACTACAGTTTGTCATAATTTTATAAATTTTATCCATAAGAAAATTTTTCTAATTCGTTTCGTTTTAATTTATTAAAGTTTTTATAAAATTAATTTTGATTAAATGGTAGAAAAAAGATCAAAATTACTAATTTTTGTGTACATTTCAAATTCAGAATAAATTCATTACTTGAATGATTTCAAAATGACTTCTGACTTAAAAATTTAATTTAGTATTGTTTTTTATATTTTAATCCAATTTTCTTACTTATAATATTTACTTATTAATGACTGAATAAAAAATGTAAAGTATAAATTTAAGCTATGAAATCGAGTACATTAATCATGAAGTATTATATCAAGAAATAAGTAGTAATTCTGAAAAGATTTTATTGAGGTTATTCGATATTTATTTAAAAATAGTTAGAAATAAAACTTGAAGTACCAGAATTTAGACAGTCATCTTTAACACTCTTAATAATTAATAAGTTAGCTAAATTATTCACAAAGCAAACTTCCATTTTTAATAAAACTTAAATATAAACCTTACACGCATAATTTTCCTACCTTAATTAAATTAATTCACAAATTTTTGAATCAAAAAATTTAATCACATATTTTACACAAATAAATATTTACATATGAAATGCGTTTGATATAATTAATTACTTTACAGTAATTTTTCATTTACAAATTATTTAATGCATGCATGAATATTGACACGTATTTAAAATTAAAAAAAAAATTTTAGTTGCAATTACAATTGCTTGCATAAATGTATAATTTTTTCAATAATATTTTGTATCAAAGCCATTTTTATAAATAATATTTAGTATTAAAGCAATTATTAAATATTTTATTTTTTTGCATTAAAAAAGCATTTGCAAATTTAAGTGAGCGATGGCAAAAAAGACAAATGCTTGTTTTGCTTATAAAATAAATCGCATTTTATATTTTTAAAAGAAAGCATAGAGTATTCTTGCAAATAATTGTAAATTATAAGCGAAAAAAATTCAAGAATGAAAAGTGTACATATTTGTTATGCTATATATGCAAACGAAGTCAAAAATAGAAATTTGCAACAATCTTTTCCAAAAAAAGCTTAACTCATTAATTTTCTTGAAAAAACTGTTCATTGCATGACTTCCATCCACTTGCCTTCTAGAGTTTAACTTTCACTCAATCTATCCATCAACAATAAATAGCAAAGCTTGTTGCACAACTGCCAGAGCTTACTTTAGACTTCTTACTTTTTGATTACTTAGTAAGCAAATTGAAATTCGTTACAGCGAGTAGTGCTCGTGCTCTGTTTCTGAATTTGCTTATTATTGCCATTAACAGTTCTATGCATAAAAATAGCACTTGTAATGCAAATTCGACATGCAATTTGTAAATATGTAAATTGCTTTTTCAATAAGAATTAGCTTGACATTTCGATGCGCATTTTAATTGAAATGCTACACTCATACAATAAAATAACTCTATACCCTTTCAGCAATGTAATAAATACTTTGCAAGTTTACTCTCAGTACTTATTTGCATTACAATATTTTAATAGCAAACTTGGCTTATCCTCATAGCATAAAATATTCCGTTGAAAATTTTATTAATACAATTTTAGTTCTTGTTCGTATAAGAAATATTGCTTAATTTTTCACTTAGCTAAGAAAAATTATAATTTTTTCTTGAAGACATAATCTTGATCTTTGATAGCTATCAATCAATCAATCAATCAATCAGTCGATCAATCAATCAGTTCAATATTTATATTAATTTTGCTGCATGAAAAATTCTTTTCTATTTCCAATTAAGATATTTGATTTTCTTGAGTATTTTGTATTAAATAATTTTTTTGAATTAAACTAAAATTCTTATTTGGCGTATAATAATTATGAACAATGATGAGCATTTATTTAAATTCACCAGAAACCATTGCATAAATTGAGAGTAAGAAAAAATTTGAAGTAAACTTTGTAGTAAATATATGCAAAATAATCTAATTACTATTATTCTAATAAAATTCGAAGTAATTGAAAGTAAAAGTAAAAAAACTTTTGAATTCTTTTTAATTTGTAAAATAAAATTGTACTATTTGACAGATTCTGTGCAATGTTAGTACAAGCTTTATCGACGGTTGTAACAACGCAACCGTCAACGTCATTTGCATATTATGCTGGTAGATTGGTTCAAATAAATGGTCTTGAATATAATCGGGCCAGAACAATGAATGGATGTATAGAAGCATTGGAGCGAAGTTCGTTACCAACTTTTCCAGACACAAGTATACATTCACTTATAATCATCTCATTTTAATTTTTTATTTTAGTAATAATTATTCAATAAACGCTTAATTTAATTTAATTATTTTAGTATATGATTTAGTTTTAAAAAAAACAAACATGACAAAAAAATTAGAAAAATTAATTTTTGATTTATTATTGCTCAAATATTTCATATAGAATATTATTTGCTACTATTGTAAACATATATATTTGCTTACTTATTTACTGCTTCATAAGTAGGTGATGGATCATTGTGGTGCAATGCAACATTCGATACAGTTCTTTGCTGGCCAGCAACACCAGCTAATAGTAGTATTACTGTACGCTGTCCACCACTCAAAGGACTTGACCCCGAAAGTTCGTTCGTTTTTCATTTGAAAGCTACACACCAACATAATAATATATGAAGCTGACTGCTTTTTTTTAAGCATATATAAAAATTATGATAATCTGTATTTCAGTAGTTTAATAAATTAATCAAATATTTGATAGATCAAAAATACTTTTTATAATCATCAAAAAAAATTGTCGTTATCATGCTGATAATTTTATTATTATTTTATAGTAACAGTGATAGTAACGGCTACTATTTGTATCCTCTGTTAAAAAAATTAATGACTTATTCGGTTAATAAGTCTGAGATCTAATTATTTATAAATGAGTAATCAGTAATATCGATAAAATTGAAAAGTAATATTCACCTTAAAAGTTTGCTCAGGAATATCTGTATTCGCTAGTATCTATTTTCCGTTTCTTTAATCCGATCTTTCGAATGTCTTTAGAAAATATTACAAAATGGTGTCACAGCTCTGGTCATTGGATGGGCCGAGTAGAAGACGATTTTTCACGCCCTCACGGCTGGACAAACTTCACTATGTGCTTTACACAAGAAGTTATCGACATGATGACAAAGCTTACTAATGGATCTCTTGTTGTAATTACTTTCTTAAGTACATAAAATTAACTTTTATTCAAATCTTTTACATATATTTAATATTCCAAAGGTATTTACATGGCTTAGAGTCTGCCTAAAATTCGTGGTCTATAATGGCCTAATCTGGCATCAATTGCTTGACCTCTAAATATCAGAGAATTGTGACAAATTTTCAGATAGCTCAAGAAATAGCAAGGAATGCTCGAAAATTAGAATTCGTTGGTCTTGGCTTGTCACTCATTTCTTTGCTCATATCAATTACCATTTTTTCCTATTTTAGGTTCTTGAATCTTTCTTCTCTTCAACTTATTATCATTATTACTGTTACTGTTACTGTTATTGTTATTGTTATTATTATTATTATTATTATTATTATTATTATTACTATTATTTTTTTAATGATTTTTATTTTTGCTGCAAAGAAATAGTTTTATTAACAGTTATACATACTGTATTTGCTAAATCTTACTAGCATGCAGTAATCATCGATAAAGGTCAAATGTCATTTTGTAATGCGTAGTAAATGCTTAAAAATTAATTATTTCAGGAGACTGCGAGTGTTTAGGAATTTATTACATTTACAGTTAATGATTGCCATATTGATGGTCGTTGTTATTCGCCTTACATTATACATCGATCTCATATTTACAGATCGTCTTGGACCGCACCATCTTAATAATAATGATGGAAAAACAATTAATACAATGGTTTTATTATTGTTATGATTTTATCAAATTAGATAAGCTAAAAAATTAATTAAATTTTATCATTACGTCTGATCAGATTTATTTAAATTGTTTACGTCCAATTACATTAACATTGTATCAAAATATCTTGCAGCACTTAAATAATCATTAGAAAGACTTTAAAATAGAGTTGCAATAATAATTATTTGATTAAATATTTTTTGAAATGATTCTGAATTTAAAATTTCACTTAATTGTTCAATAAATTCGAATCTTAAATTAAAATTTTAGGTATTTTTATGTGAAGCAATGTTTTTCATATTAGAATACTTTAAAACAGTTGCATTCTGTTGGATGTTCCTTGAAGGATTTTATTTGCATAATCAACTTGTATTTACTGTATTTGCAAGCGAACCACGACTTGAACGATATCTCTTAGCTGGATATGGTGAATTTAAAATTAGAATTTTAAGTTTTTAAATCAGTACAGAAAAAATTAAAATTTGGTTACTTATTTTGAATTTTGTGAGAATTTTTGTGACAATAATAAGTCTCTTTTCTGCGATATTTGATGGTAAAATCAAAGCTTTTAGTATGCATTTTTAAAATAGATTACAGTGATTAAACACTTTATTCTAATTTTCCAAAGTCAAAAACAAGGTTTTTATGAGTTAATTTTTCCATTAAAATTAAAAAACTTTTACAACCGTAAAATCAAGGTTTGATAGGTTTTCCATTGGCACACACATTTTTGTGGCTAGCAGTGATATTAGTGAAAAAACAAGGGAAAGTAGATCGTTGTCTTGGATCTTATTACTTGGAGCCAGAATTCTGGTTATTAGATGGCCCAAGAATGATTCAATTAGTTGTAAGTATTTGATAACAGATATATATTAAAAATTGATTTATTATAAATTCAATGCATAATTACTTGCTTTTATTTACTTTTTTTAAAAAAATGATTGTAGGTAATTTTATTTTATAACTCTTTTCTAAAAATCAGTAAATATATTAAGCATAAAATTTATTACATATCAATTATCAAGTGAAAATATTACTATTAATACTTTTACTACTACTGATTAATAATAATGATAATAATAATAATAAATGACGAAAAATTAGCATCCATGTAATATTATGGTGATAATAAACAACAATACAAAATGAAATTAGAAGTATAATGGTGTACTGTAACAAGGTTAATAATTAAACTGATATCTGATCAAATTTACTTAAAGCCAGAATTCTGGTTATTAGATGGCCCAAGAATGATTCAATTAGTTGTAAGTATTTGATAGTAGATATTGCTTTTCTTGTTTGCTATTCTATACTTATGCTCTTAAGTATAGAATGGTAAGCAAGAGAAGTACTGAGTAAGATTAGATACTGTAAATAAATTGTCTTATTGAGATATGAATAACTGAAGAGCACAGGTTGAAAGTTTGATTTTTCTTATTTTATTATGATGAAAAACATTGTTCAGTGTGTTGAATTTTCGCTTTAATTTTGATTTATTTCGAAGTTTATTCGTTTATTTCAAAGTGAAACAAAGCACTTAGAATGCTAGCGCTATAAATGCAATTATTTGTTTGATATTTTGTGATAACTGAACTAAAAGTTGCTTTTTAGGTTAACTTATTTTTCATATGCAATGTAATTCGTGTCCTTTGGACAAAAGTTAGCGAATCTCACAACACAAGTGAACTTGATAGAATGAAGTTAGTCATTTATTCTACAAAATATTACTAATTTTCATATTTACTGTACTTGGAAATAAGCACTTGCAATTACAATGCTTAGCCAATGGATGAGCTCATAAAAGTTTTAGCAGACTAATATTAATCAGTCATCGGCTAAATTTTTATTTGACCATTACGCAAGTTTGCACTTCAATTAATGTACAGTATAGTAAATAAACTTCACAAATTAAATAGAAATTTAGCCCATGACTGTTATCAACAATTTTGATATTTTTTCTAGCACTAAAATAACCACAATTAGCTTCATTTATTTGCGTTATATTTTCAGGAAAAGTGTTAAAGCAGCACTTATGCTAATTCCACTTTTAGGTATTCCTAATATTATGCAAACCATACCATTCTCTCCAACCAAAGATAATATTGTAGTAAGTTATACCAGTGCTTGTTTAGGTTCGGATTTATTGTACAACTAAGTTTTAGCTGAAAAAAATTAATGTTTTTTTAATAAAAATCAGAAAAAGACATTGAAAAATTAACTGAATTTTATTTTCACAATGCTAACAATACTTTGGCTGCAAATTGCACATTAAAAACTTCAAATATTTCTGATTCTTGTATCCCACATTAAAATTTTGAACTATTTAACTAATATACTAAATATTTAAAATATAATTGCTTTTCAACTATCCAAATTTAAATAATGATAATTGTTGACTGATAGCAAACTTTATAAGATATTCAAAAAATTTGAATTATTTATGTGTAGCATTGAGTAAATACTTTGGTTTTCTCATTTTATTTTTCGCACCACAAAATTACACTGTGAAATTTTAAATATAATAAAAACTTTAAACTTTATAAATTGCAAACTTTACAAATAAAAGTTGAAAATATAACTATTTGTCATTATAAAAATGATAATTAATAATATTTTTAATTATTAATATTAGTATGTTCAGAATTAAAAATACAATTTTATTTTATGGATTTGAAATTTTTATTCCATTAATTTATGGCCTTTGTGTTTAGTTTTTTAACCGTTTTCTTCTTTATATTCTTGCAGTGAAGCTATTTCAAGAATCGTCTACTAATAACAGTAAATATGTCATTTTAGTATTTTGCAATATGGACTTATTGTGCATCATTCACTTATATGTACCAGGGCTTTATGATATCTATCATTTATTGTTTTACAAACAAAGAGGTTAAGTTTTTATTTGAGTAATTATATACATTAACGGATTTTACCAGTTTCTAAAATCTTTTCAAATTTTTGATTTAATCAAATTTTTTCAATTATTAAATAAAAATTAATTACACCATTTCAAGTTTGAAGCAAATTTATTTTGGACTTCAAATATTAATCAATTTACTAGTTATATAGTTACTGCTAAGCAAAAATGAGATTTATAATAAAGTTCTTGAAATAACTAGTTAATAAAAATAGTTATAGGTTAGAAGGATATTAAGGAATCACTACAGCAGATTCAAATTACAACATTCAAATATAAGAAGTTTGCACTGTGCTAATCGTGTAAACGCATTGCGCAACGGTAATTCCATGGAGCAACCAAGAAGGAAATCCTCTAAACATGATGCTGCAAAGCAGAAGTGCTCTGTCAAAAATTACTTTGATGAAAGTGCAGCACCTTTAGTTTCTTTCAAGCAGGTCAAAGTTCACCCATTTACTTTTTTTTTAAATCTTTCCATTTTTCTTGCAAATCCCTGTTAAATCTCAAAATTTCGGTGTAACTTTTACTACTATATTATGAAAGTAATTGCAATTAATTTAAAAATAGTAATTATAAATTTTTTAAAGTTGTTAATTAAGAAGTATGAGTCAGTCTGCTTAAAAACTTTAAATACTGGAAAATTACCATTTAAAAATAATTAACTAAGGTTGAAATATGATTTTTTATTGGTAATAATTAATATTAAATATCATTACTATAGTTACTTGTTATCATCATTATTGTTATTTATTTGCGACGATATTGATACTGTTTTAGCCTGATATAGCTTCGAATATTATCGCTGATAATGAAAAAACATCGAATATTTTCGAATCAAATGCAAATGGTGGGAAAAAAAGAAAAAAAGGAAATTTAAAACTACCAATTTTTGATAGCACAATCAGTACTGATCAAATCGGTATAGATGATAATATTCAAATTTCTGAGAGTGGTGTTCAACTGCTGACTAGTAATGAAGAATGCGCTTCTAAGTATACTTTATGCATAATTTCACTTTTAAATGCTTACATTCTAAAAATATCAATCTAGTATCCAATCTTGCTTGTACAAATTAGACATACTTTTTGTGTATTAATCTTTACATCATAAATTGAATACTAATACTAAAAATGATAATATGCTTTTGCTTTTCGATGATTTAATTACAATTAATCAAGTATTTACTACACTTAAAAACAATTCACATTTCAGGTTTCACAGAATGGATGTATAACATATTCAAATCAAGCATTCGCTTGATAATTAATTTCATTTTAACAAAACCAGTGATATAACTTATGAATATTGTAATAATTTATTTTGTGTTGTGGTATAGTATTGTAAACTATCACTGCAAATTTCAATTCAGTTAAAAATTACTGATACTGATACGGAATCAATTCTATTTTTCATTTCTTGTTAAATGATTTCACAAGTTGTACTAATTGTTTGGTATTTTATTAAATCATACAGTAATTAATTTGAGGCGCTTACTTCAAAATTATTCTATTTTTCAAAGTCATCCCAAAAATAAGTAAAAAATAAAGGTTGAAACATTGAATGAATAATTGAAAAGCTTTGTTTTTCTCATGCTTCATTTTGCTTATTGTCACACGCACTTTGTAATATTACTGTATAAAGCGTAAATATCATCATATTTTGAATATAATTATTGTTGACTTGTATAGAAAAATAAATGAGACTATCAGTTATGCAAGTAAATATTTATTTTTATCTTAAATACCAATAATCAGCAAATACAATTCGCTAATTAAAATTTGCACAAAATTTATCCAAAATTTTCTTCAGAAATCAATCATTTTGAATTGTGCAAATTTTACTAAGGATGCATAGATTATGCTAAGGATAGATGCTATTTACATTAGGAATGGTAATTGATGGATCATGAATGGTAATTAATGGATCATGAATGGTAATTGATTGATCATGAATGGTAATTGATGGATCATGAATGGTAATTAATGGATCATGAATGGTAATTAATGGATCATGAATGGTAATTGATGGATCATTGTTATAACAGAATTTGATAATTGTTTTTAATTATTGTTTTTTTAATTTCTTAATCAGATAGAGTAACGAAAATTAATGAAAATTGAATGTATGATATTAAGCATTTAAATATAATATAACTAGCAATTCAATATATGTTTAAAATAATTATTAGGATTAAAGTAATGTATAGTTAAATTTTGTGACAATTAGTGAATTTTTTTCTTGCTACAAAAACTTATCGTGGAAGTTCTTTAAAAAGAGCACTGTTACGGTATTCATTATATGAACAGTTAATCCATGGCAACCAGCGAAATGCATATCGGAAACCAATCCGAAACCTAAAACTTGAAATTTTCAAGTTTTAATTTCAGCTTTTTTTTGTAACTTCATGCAAATAATAAGCAATATTTCGATAGAATTTCTATTAATTAATATTGATTTTGGTGTCAACATTTTTCATCAAAATTTTGATATTTAAATTTAATTGTTTTTAAATTCACCAATTTTTTTCAACTGATTTCAATAGATTACCAGTAAAAAAATAGTGATTTTAAGAAGCTTGACATTTGTGATTTAAAATGCAGTGAATACATTTTGATCTACCACAGATCAAAATGTCAATATTGGCCAAAACTGAGCATTTAGATCAAAATACTCAATACTTACTTATATATTACTCAAATCTTTTCTTTACGTGAAAAAGTTCTGTTCAAAAAAAAGAAATTAAAAAGTTATATTTATTAATTAAATAATACAAACCTGCCATTTGTATAGCAATAAATGAATGGATTATATACTGAAGCACTCATTGCAAGCCAATAAAATATCATATAACTATTGGATGCAATATCAAAGTCTTGAATCATTCGTTCCAACAAAGCATGATAAAGTTGATAAGGTAACCAGCAAACCATAAATATCGTTACTACTACTGCTAACATTTTGACAACCTAAAATAATCAACTACTTAATGAATTGATTAATTAAATTTTTAAATAATAAGTTGTTCTGGTCCTTGATAAAATAATACAAAAATTGAATCAAAAATATAGTACTAAAATTTATATAGTTGTTTTAGATTAGAAAATTACAAAATTATTCTATCTTTATGCAAAAATTTTGTATAAATTTCTGCAAACAATTTCATTAAAATTTTATATTCTTATAAAAACTTGGTGCAAAAGTTTAAAAGAACTCAAGCATTTTCATAAATGGATAAAGTTAAAATTGTGCATGCAAGACTTAATTAACGAAAATTAAATATCAAATTCTTAAGTCAAAAGTTAATGTGTTTTTACAGTAACCTTTTTTTTAGACTGTCCTGTAACTGATTGCTTAACACTTTCTCGTAATTCTTGTTTAGTTTGTAAAGCACAAGCTATCCGAGCATATGTTGCTGATAATATTATCAATGGAATCACATATTGAATTAGTAACAAACTATTGTCATATCTAAAAAACATATTTAAAAAATCATATAAAATAAAAAGGAAATTAGCCATATTTATTATTTGATAATAAATTGAACTACTTAAATGTTTTTATGCTTTAAAATAAACTTAAGTAATAATAATAAATCCATTTCTTACTGACTTCATTTGCAATATTTAACCAAAATTAAATGACAAATTATAATTAATTATTGTTCCATCAATAGTAATTAGTGCAAATCTAATTTTTAAAAACAAATAAACTTTTAAAATTAATTCTTAATTAGAAAAAACTAACAAAACTTTGTATTTAAATTCGTTCAAACACAACCACTGAATAGTTAATTGTCGAGAACTTGACGAAAAATAGTAATGCTTTTCTATTTTTGAGTTGATAACAACTGGAAGAGCAATGCACGTCGCTGATAACCAAATCAAAGTTATCACAAATATCGTACGTTTGTTTGTTAAAGGCCTTTTCCATAATGGATTTACTACTGCCTTGCATCTTAAATCCAAATTCATTAATTGTACATTTTAATGAAAATACAGTATTAAAAATATATATTATCTGCAAAAAGCTATTATTTATGAGAAGTATAATTTTTGCAGCACACAGCTTTGCTTTGTGACCAATTTAAAAGCATAAGCTTCGAAGTATAGTCAAAATATTAGATGGAAGTTTCACAAAAAATAAAATATCCTAACGTTATAGTTAAGAATTTGAATTTTCGTATTTTGAGCGTTTTCATTAAGCTTTAAAATATATAATCGGAATTGCATAAATTTACGTAATAAAAATTCATACTGATATTTAATATGTATAAAAGTGAACGTTAAATAATGATTTAACTATGAATTTATTGAGAAATCTGCAGTTTTTATAATTAATTTTAAAAAAGTTCATTTATTTACATATTTGTTCGAAGAACTTCCCATTTTGAAATAAGTGCTTTCTTTTCAAAGATGTTTATATTTTCAGCTCAAATTTCTATTAAGTAAAATGAAGTCTAAAAAGTAACATACTTAACAGATCATTACTTTGCATAATGTGAAATTTAAATTGCTGCTGCACTGTATTAGAAATGATATCAAATTTTGTATAAATGATTTACAAATCATATCAATAGCTTAATTTAATTTTTAAGTAATATAAATTAAAATTTTATAATAAATTTAGGTTAAAATAGACAAAAAACGAGATTCCATTTATTATCTTGAAAAATACATAGTTCACATTTAATATTTATGAAAATTCACAATTGTCACTTATTTTGTGTCATTTAATTTTGAGTCAAAATATATAATATGTATGATAATAAATGAAGGAAAGTTGCGTGCTAATAACTTTTTGCTTCTTATTTTCACATATTTCTTGTAAAACAAAAATGCCAAATGGCTATAAATTTTATTTTTAATTTTGATTTTTTTTTAAAATTTGTGGATTTTAGAGAAAACGAAGTATAAAAATGAAGGAAGTAAAAATACATTTTCATGTTTTTGTGCAATTTTTTAATTAATACAATGTTATTAGCACGCAACTTTCCTTCAATTAAACCTATTTTAATTTTTATTTTTTCAAATTTAACTGATTAATTCTTTTCGCTTAATCTGTTCTTCAAACAAATGAATTTCAACTTTACACATAATTTTTTATAAAAAGTATGAAAAATGAAGAAATGCAAAAATTACCTGAAATAAACACACTTTGGATTAATAAACTGTTTCCATTTACAATTATGATTAACTTTCGTATTCTTTGAAGCATAAAAATTTTTCAATTTGATATTTAGAACTTAAGCTATTTTTCAGTATTATTAATAAAACAACAGCAAGGAAATGAATATGGCAGTATTATCCTCAAAATTTAATGCGTGAAAAATAATTATTTTTTAGCCAATTATTATTTCAACAAACGTAAGTGTAATTTAAAAATGATAAAATTTAGTGCAAAAAGAATGATAAACGGATATACAAATTAAACTTCAGCATTAAATTTATCATTATGTAAATTAATAAAAATCATTCACACTGAAAAGAATCATTGCTTTAATGAATAAAAAAGAATAAAGCATATTATTAACATTTAAGATTTTTATGATATTAATTAAAAATATACCTATCACAACTGACTACCGTCATTGTAAAGACAGAAACACAAGTAGGAGTAACACCAAAGAACAAATTGGCTGCGCAAAAATCACCAAACCACCAATCGTAATAAAAGTTAAACGTCCACGTAGTGCCTACGTTAAGTAATGCAATCAAAAAGTCTGCCAATGCCATATTGAATAAAAAGTAATTAAAACCACGATGCATCACCTGACATATATAAAAATTAATTTCAATTTTTGAACTGTAATTATTACTTTGTTTTTCTGCAAGAAATTTTGATTATTTCATTTATTTGGCACAAAATTTTGCTTGATTCTTTGTTATTAACTTTTAAAATCTTTAATTGTTAATAATCTAATCAGTATATCACGTTTAATCTTTATGATATGTTAATTAAACATTGATTTGATTATTTGAACTGATTACTTAATATTTATTATTGATGCTAAAAAACTATTTTAGATTACAATGCATTGATTTAATTTGCTTTTCTATTTTTAATAATTTAATTTAATATCAAATTTTGAACAAATCTAACGATAAAAATTTGATATTTATAGCATGTCCTTTTATAAATGATCAAAACTTACTTTATGCTTAGCAATAATCCACATTACAATACAGTTTCCAACAACACTTGTCATTATAATACTTGTAAATGCCACAAAAACAAATATTTGAATACCTCTAAAAAAATTTACCAACAATACCTTTGTTACTTTTAATAATTTTTTCAATTTTCTGTTCGTTTCTTTTTCAAAAATTGTTTAAAATTTGTAAAAGAAATTTAAAAAATAATTGCTCAAAAATTCAAATTCGAATTCTTAAAATTAATTTCTAAAAAATTCCTACAAAGTATGTTTGATTGGGAATTCTTCACAGTACAAGTCTGGCAATGGCTTTGCTGTGTGACTATGCAAGCAAATATATTCAGCGATTACTTTAAGCGCACTTTTATTTTCGTATTGCTTTTCTAGTAAATGAAATGTAAAATTTTCCATATCCATTTTCTGTAAGAACAAAAATTTTAATTAAATCGAAATTATTAAATCGCACATTTTTTGAAAACTCAAAAAGTTCAATTATATAAATAAGTATAAAAAATACACTAATATAAAACTTAACATATAAATGTTTTATATAAAATAAAATTTTTATCAACGAAACAAAATTATTATTTTGAAAAAATTGTTGCTTCGGAAATAATAATTTTCAATATTCCTACTTATTCATTATTATTATTATTATTATTATTATTATATTTTATTCTTATTTTTAACTCTAATTTATCTTTGGTATGAATTTTTTGAAATTCAAATAAGCTTGCTAAACCTTGAGCATTATTTTTCAAAAATTTTCAGTTTTTGAAAGAGCAATTCTTAAGAATATACTTGATACTAATTTTACAAGTCAAGATAAAATTATACAGATTTAATTTTTTTTAAAAGTAAGCAAGTATGAAAAAAAAAATAATTAATCAATCGCATATAAATATACAATAGGAAGTAATTAAAAAATCGAGAATTTAATAAATCGAATTAAATCTGAAAGATTATATTAAGTAAAATATATTAATCAAAGTAAGTTTTCAATGATAAAACTTCTGTCAAAAAGTAGCAAAAATCTTCTTGGATTATTGGATCAAAAGATTATTTGGTGAAAAATAAAAATAGCAAATACTTTTTCATCATTACTTCTCTCAGTCCTTTTTCAAACATATTTCTGAGATAATTTTGTTTGCAGCAGTCAACTTGACATTTTTCTTAGAGTGCTTAATTTAAAATGATCACCACGCAACTATTCTCATTATTGTCTAATCACATTTGAATTCCATTTCCATTTCCATTTCCAATTATTACTGTTCAGTTCAAATTACATATTTTTATTATATACTACTTATTTGTTATGCAAAGAGCAAAGACAATATCAAGACATAATGTTGAGATAAATCATTTTGACTTCAATACTTAATAAATTAAACTTAAAAACTTTGAAGAATTCAAATGATTAACTAAAAGAAAGCGTTAGAAAACTTAAACGAGCAAATAACAATTAAAAAATTCACGTGAAAAAATAAATAATATTTGATGAGTTTTTTAAAAAATGCAAAATTATTTTATGACTTATGCTTACAATAATTCAATGGTATGAATTATTTTTGCATATGCAAAAATTTTTGCTCTATTATTGACAATGAATTTATTAAAAAACTTTGCCAATTATTTAATCACTTGACTTCATTTATTTGCGCAATATTTGGCTCAAAATTTTAGCTTAAAATAAGAAAGAGCAAAAGAAAGTTTTTTCAGTTCTAGAGGTATTGATAATAAAATATCACTTATTATACAATAATATAAAACAGATCACATATATATATTAAAATATGAAAAAATAGATCACGTGTATTTAAGAATATAAAATAAATCACAAGTATTTTAAATGTAAGTAGAAATCATTATTACAATATTTGTTAATTAATCTTTGCATACGCAAGCAATATTTTGATAATTTTGATACGCGTAAAATTCCATTTAAAATATATTCATATATTAGATTAATTGTATTATTAAACATATTTTTGCTTCTTTTACTTACAAGATTGTCACTAGCGCAAAGCACAGTTTAAATTAATTCAAATATTCTAATACACTCATTCATTATTAGATTTGGATGTAATAATAATTGATAGGTTTATTTTTACTTGTAAATATGTGAAATAAGAAGAATAAAAGAAAGCTCTATTAATCCTGGAGGCATATAACAATAATAATGACCAAATATCAAATAATCTCTATCAAAATGCTTTATAATTAAACTATCCACAGCATCTTTCTGGATTACTTGTACTGAAACTATTTAAATCCGAGATGACCAGACCAAAATATCTCTATTAAAATACAAAAAAAATCTCTCTGTGTTAATAACTATTAAAATATTGCTACTTAAGCGAATAATTAATTAAAAATTACAAAAACTTTTTCATGACAATTCCCACTACATTGATTATTTAAATCAACATTATATACATATTTTTGATTATAAATATAACGAAATGTTTTCAAAAATTTCATGATAAACTTGCGTGTTAAATTTACTGAATATAATCATACTAACTGCGTAAAAGTCAAATGCTTCCTTAATTAAATTTACTATTATCTTGTTGTATTTAATATTCATTTTATGAGTAATTGATATCATTTTTCATTAAAGTAATACTAATAATAGTGAGATAATTTTTAAAATAGTAACTATTACTATTATTGTTATTATCATTATTATTATTATTATTTGAAAAAAATGTATCTAAAAAAATTATATTAAAAAATATCTCCTGCTGTTTTATATTGTAATAATAAAATAAATAGTTACTATTATAAAAATTATTATTATTATAATTAAAGTAATTTCATATAAATGGGAGTAGAAATCTATGAAAATTTCGCTCAATTTATATCTGTACCAACTATTTTTGTATTGCTAGAAAAGTTTATAAATCATTTTTACATTTCTGAAAGCTCAATAAGTTTATATTATAAAACAGTCGGAGCTACATTTTAATACAATTTCTTGTCTCTACTTGCATGTTATCTATTTTGTGTAGCGAAGTAATTATTGTAAGATAAGTTATCATTTGAAAGATTTCAAAGCTGAAATTGAAGACAAATCAGATCTGTTCATTTAATATTTGTGACGAAAAATCACAAAAATTTCTTAGCAAATAAAATATTTGTAAGGAATTTTTAAAAGTTTTCTTGAATTTCTTTAAATGATTATCGCTTGTAAAAAATATTTCGAATTATACTTTTAACAATTTATTATTATTGATCAAAACTTTGACAAAGTTAATTCCGTAATTAAAAATATTTTTTACTATTATAAAAATTATGATTGTTATTATTATTATTAATAAAGTATAATTGTTTTGCTAAAACTTTTCAACAATATCAAAATTACAGTTTATATAAACTTTTATGACAAAAAGAGCATTCTGTAAAAATATTTCAAAGCAATTCTACTGCAATGGCTACTCGAAAAAAAAATTAATTTAGATATGTTATAAGCCTAAAAATTTAGCAAATATTTACATAATGAGCATAGTTTTTGCAAAATAAGTAATTCAAATAAAAAAGTATTTAATGAAATTTCTATCAAAATTGATAATTAATTTTGTAGGTTTTTTATCAGTTTGTTTTTTCGATTTTAAAAAATAAAAAGATATAGTTTGTTTTTGAATTTGGATTTGTCTAAATTTATTAATATTTGAAAAATTATATCAATTATGATTATATCAGTTAAAGGTGTCAAAATTTATCATTTGAACGATTTGAAGTGATTCATATTTTATCATAATTACTACTTAACTTAAAAAAAGTGTTTATTAACGTCGTCAAGGAATCAAAAGAAGCATTATTTTGAGCGAAATATATAATTTACTGATTTTCTTTGTAATTTTTCAAATTTTTACACTTGGCCAGCTTATTCAGTTATTATTTTAAACGAATTCTTTTTGATTTGAAGCGAAGAAAGTATACTTTTTTATTTTTGAAAAGCACAAAAGCAATTTAGTACATTCAAATTCCAGGCTTAAATTAGGATACTTGACAAAGAGCAGCATAAAATCATACAATATATATCAATTAGTGCTATGAATCTCAGAATACCATCAAATAATATACGTGTAGAAGATTATCTACTTGTCAAATATGATTTATTTGTAAACTACTAGTATGTCATATGGCATAACGAATCCTTCATTATGATAATTATTGAGGAAAATAACTAATTTAATTACTGCATAACAGATAGAACCAAAAATATATTCATAAATTAAATTGCAATAACCTTAAAGTGATAATTTACAATTTTATTAAGATTAAAATTCATTTTTTCAAACTATTTTGAGAACTTTTGAAAACTTATACAGTTTAATAATTGATATTTCCCAACGTTATCTGATAAAAACACTTTTCAAACCTTTGATAAAAATAGTCTTCAAAACTGAATAAGTAATTATTGCAGTTACAAAATATGCCAAAACTGAATTAGAAAAATTAATATAGCAAATCATTACAGTGGAAAAAAAAATCGAAATAAATGAATTAAAAATAAAAACTGAAAATTGTATGAAAAGAATTATAATTATAAATGAAAGTCAAAAAATAGTAATAGAAAGGATAAAATTTGTCAACATTATTATTTAACGTTTATAATACGTATTGAAAATGGTTGAATTAAACTTGTCAGATTATGTATGCATGGATATGTATTAATTATGGTAATGACCAAATAAGGAAAGCAAAGGAAAGCATGCGTTATTATTTTTAAACAATTCAAGTAAAAAATCACAAGTTTGTAAAAAAAGCATTAATATTCCAACAACATTTATTTTTCAAGACCCAATTTCTTTTCAGAAATGCCAATTGCATATTTTAAAAAAAGCTAAAAATGGGAAAAATGAACAACATTCTTTACAAAAAAATTTTTTTAGTCAAAAAAGTATGCTTATTTTTAGATAACTTTTAATGCTTAATTTTGATCCCATAATTATTGGAAAATTTTAAAAATTTGACAAAAATTTATTTATTTGAAAATTATACGTTCTGAACTTTGAAAATGAAAATTGTAAATATTAAAAAATTTAAATTTCATTTTTATTTTTCAAATAAATTATTTTAAATATTTCAAAGCAATTTTATTTAAACTTTATTTAATATATGGGCTAAAAATTTATTAACAACTATTTTAAGTACAGTGAGAAATTTGAAAAAAATTAATAAATTCAGATATCGAAAATCTTGCAAAAATTTAATAGTAAATTCGAATTTTATTGTTGCATTTCAATTATTTTAGTTTCATAAAGTTGCATTACTTTAATTCAGTAAAAATTTGTTTTTTTAACTTTTAAAGTTGGAAAGATATAATTGATTTTTTTGAATTATTGAGTTGAAAGATTTTTTATTTTTGTTATTAAAATTAGTTCATTACTAAATTTATACATGCATCAGAAATAAAATATGCAAATTTTTCATTTTAAAATTTACTGAAAAGTTTTGAAAATATCTAACAAGTACAATAAGGCATTAGTAAAAGGGCACGACGAATCTGAACTTATTTATTTCTGCTGCACAAATTTCAAAATAAATTTTCACAATAATTATTAATAAATCTTTACGAATAAAAAAAATTTATTTTTGCCAAAATACAAGCTTTTATAATTGTAGAAAAAATTGACATTTTTCTGCGCCGAAATTATTTTAAAAGTAATTAGTAAAAGTATCATTTAGTTTTCATGCTAAAATAATAAGCTTCATTTATTACTGATTTATTTTATCTCTTGAAATGTACTCCGCGAAAATCAATGTAGCATAAATATCATTGCAAAAATTTTTAAGTAAGCAACTCTGGCAGTGAAAATTTGAAAAAAAATTTCATATTTATTAATTTTCGAAATTTTTTGAAAAATTTAATTTCTCCTCTAATGATTTTTGCTTTTTTGATTATACGTTGGTTGATTTGAAATTTTTGAAAATATTGAAAATCAAATAATTGTTTGAAATTTATTTTGTGCCAATTTTGTTAGTGAGATGATTGCAGAAGACAATGAATATAATTCATAAAGCTAGTAAAGATAGGAATCTTTTAATCTTTCTGAAACTTTCTTCATTTTTAGTGACTTTCTTTAAACGAACAAACGAATTAAAGCTCTAACTTTGTTAAATTTAGCTAAGCTAAGAGTCAATTAGAACTTGCCAAGAAATTTGTTCAAATTTTTTGAACTAAGCCAAAATTCTATTATTATAAATACTGAACTATCACTACTGACCCGATGTATGTATTTTTTGCTGAATTTATCAAAGTAAGCAGAAAAATGTCAATTTTTTGTGTAATAAAATAATTCAAGTTACGCATATATATATAATTCCAACTAGCTTATTAAAAATATTTGTGGTGGAATACTATAAAAGTTAATTTAGGTTTGCAAATTATTTAAAATTCATTTTTTTGTACTGTTATGGGTTGACATTTACGCACTGTTACTGTAGAACAAAAAAATTAACTAATAATTTACTCATTTACTAACTATAAATTACCAAAAGCAATTTTAAATCTTTTCTATTCATATTTAAAATACAAATAATGACTTAAATACAAACTTATAAATTCACTGCTTACGGGGCAACACTTTTGTGAATATCATATTTGCATATTTTTTCAGACTACATATCTTCCATCGTACATCTACTAAAAAAGCTCAAACACAAATGCAATATTTGCTAGCTTTTTCTGCTAATTTAATTTTCAACTTTGACTCATTTACATAGTATTTCATTTGTTTGTATTTGCATTATCTATGCTTAATACACAATATTTTTTCAAGTAATTTAAATTGTCACAAAGTTTTAATGGCATCCTGACAAGTATTATCTTGTACTTCTAATATTCACTGAAGCCTTTCAAGGAAAAATTAATTTTTTTTAGCTCACTGAGCTCATTTTTTATAATAAACAAGCATTAACTTTGTCATCGAAATGCAATATAATTACTTACCTAAAATGCTTTGCTAAATTTTTTCAGCTTTCTTTCCACCACAATTTCTTCATTCAAAGTTCTTCATCTTTACTGAATTTTTCTCATCATTCTGTGAAAAATAAGCTATGCATATTAACACGATAATGTTATCATATCAAATGATTCGATCGATGATTACACGATGTTCTGATCATTACTAAAACCACAATTAAAATCACTACCACTTGCAGAACAGCAATCATTAAATTTAAATGATTTATTTTTTATAAACAAAAAAATCACTCTAATTTTGAGGAACTGTAGAAGATAAATATACAAAAATTGAACTACTTGTACAGTTTTAGTTATTCGCATTTCAATAGAAAAAAAGAGCGAAAATATTAAAAAATTTATAGAAATGTCATAGCTGTGCTGAAAAATTGTTAGAACAACGAAATCTATTTATACCAGTAGTATCATACAAATGATTACGTTTTAAACTTTAATCTTCAAACGGAACCATCACCTAAAATTTATGACATCTTTATGCAAAAGACAAAATACCCGTTAATGCTGAAAATTTTTTGATGAATGCCAAGCTTTGCGTCTAAGATGTTCCTTAAGCTATAATTAAACACTAATACAACCAATAACAGCACCAACAAGGATGCGTGTATTAAAAGCGCCAAATATCATTGATTTACAGTTTAATATTTATGCAAATTTAAGCAGAATCTTACAATCAGTTCTTATTATCAAGCGTATTCGTAAATAGAAATATATACAAGGTGAGAAAAAACTAAATCCATATTAATTCTAGCAAATACTTGCATTGAAAAGTTTGAACGTAAAAAAGTTTTTCAGATTACAATCTGTTGTTTTTCTTTCGTAGAATCTGAAAAGAAATCATACATATTTCAGTTATTTTTATTTAATTTTAGCAACATCCTAACTCAATTTTTAAAACATAAACAGAAGCAAAAGCAAATCCCAATAAAATTTGAGAAATTAACTTGCAAGTTACAAAAGCAGTACTTTAAAATATTTTCAAACAAACTAATTCAAAGTTATTTCTGTATTTTAATTCGTTCATAACTACTGCGGCTATTAATCTCATATGAAAGTTTGAATCAAAAATTCTAACTTAAAATAATATGAATAGAATAAACTTAATGAACTCTACCCCACAAAACAAATGATCCAACGATATGCAAAAGATTTCACTACAAACAGAATATTAACTTAATGTCATTTAAAATGCAAACAAGTTGAAAAAGTAATTCATAGAGTGTACAATTAACAAGAAATGCTAAAACATAAAAATATTCGTAGTAAAAGTCTAATAGCAAATAGCTATAAAAGCAGTGACAAGCCATAAAAAGTAATTTTTTGACATGCTAACTTTCATTCTTCGCTTCGCTGAATTTCTTCGTCGTGGGAATGTATCTTCGAACGATTTTTCATTGCATAAATCATTACCACATCCGCACAAATAAGTCTGACCTTTACCACCAATTAAATTTTTATGAATTCTGCATTCATGAGCCTGAAATTCACGCATTTTACTTGTTTTAATAAATTAATTTAAACTATTTCAATTTCAATCTAACAAAAGTAGTTTTCATATGTGACAGAAATTTGAGCAATTTGCATAATACCAAGCAAGCTTCCATAATGGTCTCCCACGGTGAACCTGACAGTGCTGGGGCATATACTTCCATCTCATCTTGGATAGCATCTGCATCACAACCTTTCATGTAATACTTGTGACGACCATCTAAGAAGCAATTCTTATCAGATTTAACATCATTTAATACAGTTAAAGTTAAAAATTAATGAAAATTATTAAACTTAAAAGATTTATGCATAAAAAATTGATATAATCTTAAGAAACTTTCATTACAAATGATAAAGATAGTCATTGAACTAGTTAATATTTTTAATTACTCATCACCTTTACATATCGTATTGTAAAAGTCAGAGGTTAAAGGTTACAAAGATATATGCAAGGTGTTTGCAACGAAAGTACTTACGACTCATTTCCATCGTAAAACAGCAGGAACTTGATTCACAATTTACTGTTCTATTTGCTTTCACTAATTTATTTTTTCGAAAAAATATTTCACATGGCAAAGAATTAATTGAAGATACAATATATATCAGCAGCACAAAAACTGCAAATGAAGATCAACTTTACATAATTTTTTTCAAATAATTATAAATGTCCGGAGGTCAAAGGTGATTGCAATTTAAGGAATTTATCTACTGATTATTTACTCAAGAAGTATTACCAGTAAGTGTTTTATCAACCATTTCTTCAACTGCACAAGCATAAATGTCGAGCATTACTCGACCTTTTAATACATTTATTTACTTTGATACAGTATTCTGCTCACATTAATGCATGCAAATTAGCGAGAAGTGTAAATAATTTTGACAATTAGTGAGTCAAACAAGCGATAAGTAAGTCATATTCATGAAGACAAATCACTGAGCTGGCCATCAGGATGATCCGTGTCTGCTTGGAATCAGTGCTTGAAGTGGTTAAGCAATTAATTAATCTCCCGATTCTGTTGTAATTAAGCAGAAAATTTCAACCATTTTTGAGATATGACACATTTTCACCGGCCGCAATTGAAGAATTATACCGTGCGCAATGTTTTACTTTTTAGGTAACTATAAGTTTTAAGGTACGATGGGAGGTCATTTTGGGTGAGACTAAAGTCGCTTAATTAGGTGAAAGGTCAGTTGGTTGATGCATAATGAATGTTACATAAGTTTTGGGAGGTAATAATCGGAGGTCAAAAATAGTGCTTACGATATTGCTAGTGTTGGCTATTGGCTTTACTTCCTTTTTAATACTTACTTTTTGATGACAAATTTTATTTTATTTTTCTTATTTTGGAACTAATTTGCTTCTAATTTGCTTTCTGTCATAGTTTTTTTGCTAGCTTTTTAATTACTGTCATTAAGTAATATGAATGAATTAACGAATGGTGGAATTATTTCTATGCTTGTGTTTTCTTTTAAATATCATTTAAGCTTTCGAGATTAAGCAGTTAAAAAGATAAGAAATTTTTTTAATTTTTGCGTTTTCTTACTTTTATGCAAAAAAAATACTAGCAATATCGTAAGGATAATTTTTGACCTCTGGTTACCTTTCAAACTTATCTAATATTCATTATGTATGACCTTACTCCTAGTTTAAAAACAAAAATATAATTTAAATTTTTTTTGAAAAATTAGTAATAAATGAATTACAGATACTGTATGATGAGCTATTCAGGATCTTCAGAACCGTCTTCGAGTGGTGAACAACAGTTGATAAAACCAATCATATTAGATGGTATTCCTTATTATTACTTGCTGTCCAAATTATTTGATGTATGAAAATGCGCTTTTATAAATATTTTTGGTCTTAATTTCTATACTTATGGAATATAACTGATAATGATATTATGATTTTTTATTAGTATCATTGATAATAATGAGCTGAAAATAGATTCATTTTTCTTTGTTTCTGTTATTATCATCTACAGAAATTTCTTGCAGAACAAGAAAAAAACTTCTTCATTTCAAATTTCAGAAGATAAAGATAGTGAGATACGCAGCCTTAGTTGCCTTGTGACAAACTGTTTATGTACTAGCAGGTAAACTTATTTCATCTTTCTGTGTGTTTGTTTAAGCCATTAGGAACAGAAGTTATCATATGTTCTGTATTACAGTTGTCAAGTTGAAGACTCTGTACTGCCAGTTTTGAAACCTTTCACTCGCCCGAGTTTGTTTTCTAATGTGTCTCCAACAATACGGTTTTATACGAAGGGAACAAAAGGCATACATTTTTTCCACATTTCATTTCAGTTATTTGAAAAATGGGTGTAATTTTGAAAAATGATGATTTTGGTTATGCCATTGTCAGTAATAAATTGTTTAAGCAAAGAATTTTAAAGAAAGGACTTTTTTGAATGAGATCTGAAAATTTTAACAGGGATTTGCTTTTGATTAAGTTTTTTTTCAGTCGCAAAACCGAGTAAAGCTATTCGCTCAAAGCTGTTATGGTGCAAAAATAATCTTTTACCTGTAGTCGTGCGACAAAGTCTTGTTACAAGTCATTTTTCTATAGTTGATGAATCAAAATTATGGGTAGGGTATTGGGGACGACACTTGAAATCAATCCAGTACCGAACGATTAAGCCATTTCAGAAGGTACTATCTTGTTGATTTGTAGGAGCAATAAAGAATTAAAGTATTGATAATAATAAATAGACATTTAAATGATTGTTGCAATGATATATATTTGATTTTTACAGTAGTTATGAGATGGTTATTTTGTTATTCAGCTTCTTAACACTTTTAATAGTAAATATCAAGGTATTTGATTTTACTCAATGAGTGTTGCATGTTTTACTACGTCTGTACTTGAAATTATTTATAGGTCAATCATTTTCCCGGTGCATTTCATATAGGTCGAAAGGATCGTCTATGGCAGCATATAAGTGAAATGATGGAGATATGGGGTTCTGAAGAGTATGAAATCATGCCAACTACTTTTATTTTGCCTCGTGATTTCAAGAAATTAAAAACACATCTTCAAAAAAGTGCATCACATATCATAATACTTAAACCGGTATCGTTACTTAAATGTTTTAGTTTATTTGAGGATGCACTAACTTCATCAAGGTGCTATTTTTTAGCAAACTATTTCTATGCATTTACGTTTCAGTAAATCGTCCAAAAATTTGGTAATGTTTATATTTCTACACTTGATAGCTTTTTATTGCAGCCTGCATCGGCTAGGGGAGTAGGTATTACTTTTGCTAGTCAAATTAAAGACATTCCAAAGCAAACATCGCTCGTTGCACAGCAGTATGTTTTTCACTTAATAGTAAAAATTTTTTAAATTCAGAAATTCATTTTCTATAAATTTTGAAAATTTTCGTTATGAGGTAATCTATTATCTTGTTCCTAGTTATATTGGTCGACCACTGATCATCAATTCAGCTAAATTTGATTTGCGTTTGTATGTTTATCTCACAAGTATTGATCCTTTGCGGATATATTTATACAATGATGGTCTCGTAAGATTTGCAAGTACCCCGTAAGTTTACAATTTTACTTATTTTTTTCGTTTGTTGTTGAAAACTAAGTTTGCTCTCTTACTGCCAGAATTTGTGGTCATTTCATAATGCTTCATAATGCTCCGTGTTTACAGCTATTCTTCTGACCCAAGTTCAATGTCCAATAGATTTATGCACTTAACGAACTATAGCATCAATAAATTGGCTCAGTCAGCAGGCGAAAGTTCAGCTCCTGTCCCCAAGTGGAAAATTTCGGAATTTTGGGCATACTTAGCTGAACGTGTAGACGTTAGTGCCATCAAACAGCGAATTAAAGATGTTATCATCAAAGCTGTTATCGCGTATGTTTTCTATAGATATTGGTGATGAGTATCAATGTTACAAAATATGTTTATAACTTTTGCTTATTGAATTTGTTTGTTGAGCGTGTTTTCGTGACTTTAAAAGCGAAACATAAGTTCTATAATAGCCTTCTCACGTTTTATAAATTTTTCTTTTTTATTAAATATTTAAAAAATATACAAAGTATTGGTGATGAAATAGTTTTCTCGTTTCTTTATATATTGCACATGAAGAGTTGTCTGTTTCAGTTGTGAAAGTCATATTCGATTGCACCAAAAAAAGCATGCTTTATATCCTTTCACTAGTCATGAATTGTATGGGATGGATATTTTACTGGACTCTAATCTAAGACCATGGTTGCTAGAGGTAAGTAATATAAGTCTGTCTGAAATTGAGAAGCAATTGTTCAACCAAAAACCTGATATAATCTGCAGGAAAAAAAGGAGTTTTTGATTTTTTTTCTCAAAGTAGGGCAGTGATGCCAAGACATAATAAGCCAAATTTAAAATTTAATGATTATAGTCACTTAACCAGTTTCAGGTGAATATTTCGCCATCTTTACATTGCGCAACAGCAACAGACAAAGCCATCAAAACGGTACTAGCAAAAGACGTGCTAAATCTGTGCGGTGTTCAAATTCCACCAAATATAACGTGAGGGTTTTAGAGACAAGACTGAAAGTTGAGCACTGTCTTTGAACTTTCTAATTATTGATTTATTACTTTCCTTGTGAATATCAGTAAAACCATAACTAGTTTATCGCCCATACTTTATCACTATTTTTTGTTCATGAAAAATCATAAACTGTTATAAGGCCGGAAAGTAATGCGTTGTCAATAGACTATCGAGTCAAATCATTCGACAGTAATAAAAGTGCTGAAGATATGCTGAAAGAGATGCATCATGTGGGATATTTCGAAAAAAATATGGTTAGAATTATTTGTTATCTGTGCTATAATTCATGACATTTATTCATTAATGGTTTCTAAATACCGTGTTGAAAATATAAATTGTTCCTTTTATACTTGGTTAAACTGCAGTAATAAGATCAGCTAGATTTTGATTTAACTAATACTTTTCGTTGTCGTAAGTAAGATATTTAATTTTAAATAAAGTGCTATAAATATTTTTAGAAAATTGATCCGAGGATAGTGGATGATTTGACCGGTTCTGACGCGCGGATTTTAATTGATTTTGAGGATGAATTAGATCGGTCTGGGAATTTCGACCTCATATTCCCTACTGCTAAAACGTTCAATTACGTGAATTTTTACAAAAAACCCATTGCTTACTCTAATTTATTGCTGGCCCAATGGCAGTTAGAGAAGGAACGTCGCGGACGTGAAGTTGGTTTAGCCATTTTAGAAGATATTTCACGTAGGAATAAGCATTTTCCCAAAACAGTGGTACTTGAAATTTCACAGTTCACTAAGTAACGATAATGAATGATATGAAATCTGTAATCATTCAAAAATTTTTTATATACCTCAGTAATTCATTTCTGACAGGTATAAAAATATCATACAGTTGTAATAGATATCTACTGCTTTAATATAATCTTTCCTCATGGAGGTATCAGAGTCAGTTTCTAAATTTCCAACAGTTTTGATTTTTGCAGATTTAATATTTTTAATACGTTCTAATATTTTTCCACAAGTTTTTCCAGGTTGTTTTCCACCTTGCTCATATTTTTATGTTGATCTGAATGCTGTGCGAAAATTATGTGCCTCGTGCTTTTCATTCGTAAAATATTTTTTTTTGCTGTCATTAGATTATCAGCACTCTTTGAAACATAAACAACGCGAATTAATCTGGAAGATTTATGTGTAATTTGAGAAATATTTGAAGTGTGAAATTCAATATGAACTTGATAATCTTCCAATGCATACTTCGTGTCGTTACGAAATTAAAGACGTTGGAATTCTGTTTAAAAGTAAAGTTATTTTCGGGCAAAACCTATGATCATAACAAAGTAATGACACGACAATCACTGATAATAATCAGCAAATATATTAATGATTGTGTAACATCTTCCTAACAAAAATTCCTATTTGTGATACTATTGGACATTCTCTTCTCAAGTGCTTATTGTCTATAAAAGATTAAAACTGCCTGTTTGCAGATTCCATCATATACTAGTTCAAGTCAAAATTTAAAAGATATCAGATTGTCGCTTTTATTTCTAACTACTTGTTTGCATTTCGTGAGCGGGAAATACGGGATTAATTTATGAAGTTTCTGAATATCATTGCTGTGGTTTAATAACTTGAGTATTCTTCTCAATAATAGATTAACAAAAACTGTATCATTCTTATTATTGAAGTGATGGAGCATAGTCCCACCCAAATTTTGTAAAGTCATTCTACTTTATTAAAAAAAAACAGACCTTAAAGTGATTGCTTTGTGCACCTATGTTCACTTCTTTTCTCTGCTTTTGTTTTTAAAAATTATCACTGTGACGTTCCAAGCGAACATTCAAGCAGACTCTTTATTGTGTTTGTGTTCTCAAATTCGTAATAACGAGTTGCTAAATATCTTATATTCCTTCATCTAGAAACTTCTCTCTCCAATCATTGTTGACTATTTCACTACGTTTTTTTTGGTTAAAGTTCAAAATGTTTTGTGATTTTTTTTCATAATCAAATTGTGACGTAGTTGCAATTTGTCTATATGTTTTTCCATTATTAATTTCTGCCTTCATGCTGATGCGTTACCTGCTGATGAATAAAAATTTATGCTGTCACTGTATTATACTTATGATTATGCTATAATAAGTAGAGAAACTAATTAGTGCTAATAGATGAAATCTCAAATCACACTAGTATGCATATATATAAACATATTTTTGTTAAAATTAGTAAAACGTTTTTCGTGTTACTATAGATATACCCAAAAGTATTGCTAAATCCCAACAAAAAATGGTCTGAAACAGTAATATTTCGTATATTTCATTATATTAAATACTTTTAAAAAACTGTTTGTTTTCTAAATGACCAATGTTCCTTTTTTCAATCTCAACAGCCGAATTGGCTTGATAAAGATCTATTAAACCTGAGTATTTTATTTTCTACAGACGACATGTTAGCTGGAAGTCTAGTAACTTCCGTGCATTATTAAAGTTGATAACTTTGAACAGCTCAGAATTAACTACTGCGCAACTTTTATGAGTACCGTTGTAACTTTTTAGCCTACAGCAGTGTATGCCAGTAACATGAAACAAATAAATTAATATTTCTCATATTTATTGGTGGTCAATTATTATTTTCCTGACTGAGTTATTGATTGCAGTAGTTTGTGTATTCGCTGACAGAGGCAACCTTTTTTCAGCATTAAAGCCACACCTGATGATACCTTTCTGAATTCATCCATTTGAGCAGCTGTGAATGTCATTCGGATTTGCGACAACGACTGCAACAAAGTGTCGGTATTTCTGTTTAACCGAAATTCAAACTGAATAAATGAAACATCTAAAGAATTACATTTTGAAATAAAATCAAACTGAAGTATTCGAGTACTCATTCTATGGTACTAAAGGAAACTAACTTTATCGAGAGATGTAAATATTTCAATCCATTCTTTTTCGTATGGAGATGATTCTTCAGATGCACATATAATAAAAAATGAAAAAATTCCAGATAACAATAAGAGGAATTTTTCGGGTGAATGGAGTGGTGATTTGAACTGTTGTGGTTGCGAACCAAGCACACAGAAATCAATCCTTGATTCACTGATTGGGGTTAGATCAATTTGAGTACTTTGTCCATTACGGACACTAAAATATGCCACTCGGAGGGGCCCAACTATAGCAGGTTCTTCAACCCGAAAAACCCGTAAAAAAGTAGCAATAGCATCAAGCAAGAGCTGAAATACCCTATTTTCAGATGATTGTTACCAATAATCCAATTAGAAAAACTGGACTTTTGATACAGCGGAATAATCAAAGAACAAATATAGTGAACCACAATGTCTGGCAGTATGTTCTACATGATTTTTCTTGCTTTTAACTTGGAAATAAATATTTAAAAAATATAAACTAGACTGAGATTTATATGCACAGAAAATTTATCTTTGGATCTTAGCTCACAAAAATTATCTATTCTCAATTCCGATTACATGGATCTCAGGCTATACATAAAAGATGTTTGTGAAATTTAAGCCAAAATACTTTTGAGCTAATGCTTATTTTCAGTCATCTTGGCAAATATCAGAAATTAAGATCTCCAAACTTTGAAAAAATATTATGAAAACCTTTTTGTTGGTTAGAATACTTTTGCTATTCAGGAGTTCCACAAATGAATCGAATAAGTCGATGTTGTTTTGAGATAGGTTAGGATACGTGCGCATTAATAGTGTTAAAATCGTAAGTGCATAAAACCGTACGCTTTTCCTGAGATGTGTCAAAGCACGGAGAGTATGCATCATTAACAAGGTAAAATGAGATGATATAGCTGAAGCATCTGTTTTACATAACAGTTCAACAAGAGCACGCAGTTGAGAGTGAAATGATGAGTCGCTTTTCTGAATTATTCATAAAATCTGCATTTTCAGTGTATTGAAAATATTCCCTCGTACAAAATAAAGATTTAAAATGCTGAACTTTTCGTGTGAAATATTATGCATTGAATAGTGCATAAGAAAATAATCGCCAAACTTACATCACATGCAATCAAACGTCCTACAGTTGGTATAAGGATGTGTAAATATTTTGGTACAAATTCAGGATGCAGTGAAAGCAACTGCCGTAAGCCAATAACTGAATCGCGTCTCACGTTAATATTATAATGACCAAGCTGACGGCATAATTCTTCTAGTGATAAACCACGATATGATGATACGCAGCCATCATTTACTCTTAGTTGTTCCACAATCACAACCTGCAGTACTTATCTTTATATTACAAAAATTAGATATGCCATTAAAATCCTCAGTCTGCAAAACTCAGAAAGCCAAAAAGAAAGACTGAAAACTTTTTACTAAACCAACTTTTTTCGTTTCTATTCGCGTATCGGTAGCTGCTGTTTTTTTCAACTTTTTTCCAAGCTTTATTTTCACTTTAGGGAAATCCTTAACTTTCTTTTTCTTAGCCATTAATGTCAAATAAATCTGAAACAATGTTACGTACAAATTTACAATAGACATCACTGACGATTTACTAGAGTCAAATAAGGAACGCTTTGCAAATGGAAGGCGTTGAATAGAATGGATGGGAAGCAAATGATGTCTGGTAAGAAACAACGCTCGAGACCGATGAAAATTCTTGGATGAAACTAAACAGATAATTCAGCTAAAAAATATATTAGCACACTACATGCGCAATCCTTCTTAAATTTAAAATGCTGAGAAACGATCAAATATGAGTTATGAACCGAAGAAATTTATAATTTTCAAACGATTTTACAAACTGCAACACAATAAATTGCTTTATCAGGAAACATGGATCACAAATATATTGCAATGAAATCATTAAAAAAATTTTGTACGAAATAGAAAGATAAGAAAAAAAAGGTTAATGATACTACGATAGAGGTGAGAACTAATGGTTTTACATGAAATGCAAATTAGAACAAGCAGATTTCAAAGCAAAAAATATGGAAATTTCGCTTTTGTAATTTTTAACGATGGTTCTAACTAACACGATCTGGTCTTAATTTCATAACAATTTTACAATAAATAACATAATATACATATGTAGGCGAATTTTCATGCGAAATTAACTTCGGATAATGCCATTCGCACAGCAATTAGGTCTTTATTCGTCGGGTCTTCCGTAATCAGCTTCTTCAATTTTTGCATATAAGTATCTATGTTTTGTACAGTTGGATATTCTCCTGCAAAACAAAATTTAATCACAAATATAATACAGGAATGACAAAAACGTGAAATAGATATGACTTTAGAAACTACACATTTAGTCTCACATAATAAATTAAATGACATAATTGTACAATTTTAGAATCAAGCAAATACTTTTTATGAATTAATTATGGAAAACATACCATCAACAGAAACATATGCAAGGGCGTCAATCAACAGTTTAGTCCATCGCTGCTTAATTTTTTTAGCCCATGGAGCACAAGTAGACTGCTGCCCACGTAATATCTTTACTTTTTCTGATAATCTGAAAAATTATTGGTGAAAGTTGAAAAAAGTTTATTCTATGAAAATAAATGGCATGAAAAATTACGTACAAATAAAATATATGTGTACGTGTTAACACAGTACAGATCGTACTCAATGCTTTACCAGTGTACTCAAGGTAAGAAGTCACCATGTAAATTATATTATATATGCATGACTAGCTCCACATTATGTTTCATATCAACGAGCACATCATAAAACTAAATGGCAAATAAGAAAATTAAAAATGTGCATAAGGCAACGAAAAACTCGCTCTGAAATATTGAGTTTCAAAGAGTCTTGTTCCTCCTGAAGAGAATTTACCATTTTCTTTAAGTTCTTATATTTAGTTTCTTGACCTAAAAGCAACTGAATCAGTACTTTATCGAATCTGCTGTCGAGACAGCTTTTTTAAACATTTTAGTATATTTTGCAGTTTTGATATTATATAAACAAAGTTCCTTGAAAAGATGCAATTCATCTCAGAATAAGCCTAAAATTGAAGAACTTAACCTTTATTGAAAGTGAGAAATTCCTTGCTGAATATGGGAACATCATTTGCTACAACCACATCGCTTTCATTGTTTTCCTAAGTATGTTTTTTAAAATAATTCAAAAGTTTATGATGATAAATTTATGAAGAACAACCTCATCACTACACTTAACATCATTTTTTTTCTTCTTCAATTCCAGCGTTCGCTGCTTTATCAATCCTTCCTTCCTGACTGAAAATCAATATTCAAATTGAAAGTCAATATCAATGTGGAAAACTACACCAAACAGCAAAATTCTAGACACGATTTAAGATCAAATTACTGGCATAAAAAGTTGAATTATAACATTTCATGCTGTGAATATAACAAAACGAGCTTAATATTCCATGTTTTTATTGGGTTGAACTTCCTAGTAAGAATAGATGAAACACATTTCTGAAGCTCAAAAAAACTAGGAAATTTTACAATGTGATTCAAAAACGATGTATGAAATATGCGAAAATGGCAATAAACTTACAAACCTACATGCAAAGAAATTTCTTGTTCAAAGAAATAAAACAATATTATAACTTTATCATAAAAATGAAACGAACCCTGGAATTGACTGTAAGCTTCGGTTTTTTTGTATTCTCCCATAGCTTTATTATAAGCTTCTTGTTCTTCAGCTGCTTTATCGATGAATAACTTAAAACAACACATTAGAAGATTAATGATCTCAGTAAATATTTTGAAATGCTAACTCAAACTAGTGAAAAATTTTTTTTTAATTCAAAACTAAACCTATAATGGAAATCAATACACGAAATCTAAGTTTCTTTCAGTTACAAAATATTAGAGCTGCAACTACAAATTTCAAATCAATGTCATTCATGTTACAAATTCGTAGTCTTAAAATTTGAAATTAAGACTCTACGAATTCTACGAAGACTCTGCGAATTATTTCGTGTTTAAACACACAAAATCCATACATCTCCAACATTAATTGTCCGGAACTACTTAAAAACTTACTTTTTTCTGCTCCTCTGATAAATGTTTCCATTCTTTTCCAACTTGTGTCAGGAAAGTGCGTTGACGCACAAGTTCATGTTCACCAGCATCAGTTAATTCTTTTCTTCTTGCACTAAAAATAAGTTCTTTTACTTAGTATTTTCATACGCTCAAACTTGCAGAATGATATTCATAAATCATTAGTAGTTAATGATTCTGTAACAATATTATCAGAACAATAACTCTGTTTTATGTCTTACATACTATCATTATGTATTTAGTTTTCTCATGAAATTATACATTTGCATTTACAGAGATATAAAAAACTGCTGCAGAATTTAAAAACGTATTTTTGTTTCTTACATATTAGTGCCGAGAAAGAAGCAAAGAATGTTTACAGACAGCAGCATTAATGAAAACAGAACAAAAACAGAAAAAACCATTTACTTCAAAAAATGAACATATGCAGAGAGTGGTCGTTTTGGTGCATTTTCATCGACGTAAACTATTCGCTTCTTCTGGCGTTTCTCTTTTTTTACTGAGGGAGCTTCGGACATTTTACATGCGTAAGAAATAATTCAAAACTATAAGGCAATAAAAGATTAGATGCCAAACAGAAAATATCGTAGTTTATTTCTATAAATTAAAAAAAAGTAAACAATACATTTCGGTGTGAAGTATCAGAATGAAGCTCAGAAATCGCAATTTTATAACTCCTTCTTAGTGTAAAAGATTCGGCCACTTTACTCACAACACTCCACTACTACATAAATGCTTTGGCCACTTTACTGTACTTTGTACTTGTTGTGCAATATTTTTAAGCTATGAATTTTAATGCATGGAAATTAGCTGCGCATGCACGCATTAGAACAATGTACTTCGCACTTCACTAGTTAAAATCGCAATCTTATTTTTCCTTTCTAGTGTAAAAGATAGTTTTTCGAGAAAATTTCAGCCCTATTCCACAGAATACAGTGCAAATATGTAACAAGCATGGAGCTGAGCAATGAAACTTTTAACCACCAAATCTTCACATTTTAAACGTTTCTTCTTACAAAATACGGATTTTTTTTGAAAACTTTGTATCTCAGCAAATTGAAATCGAATACTTAATTGACGCAAGTCAACATATGCCATATCATGCTGAATTAGCAGCATTTACCAGCTCTAGATCAAAATAAGATAGCACTCAGATATGATCATTAATAGATGAGGATTAATTCATAGAAACCTTCATTAGTACTACTCATCAGTATCTAACGAAAAAACTGGATTATCTTTGATTAAGTACTGAACTTTTTGTTCTACAAGACATTTCTAATTTTTCCTCGCATGGTTTGGCTACTTTACTCACAACACTCCACTATCACACAAACCCTTTGGTTACTTTACTTACAACACTCCGCTATCACACAAACCCCCCTACCGAACAAAATCAATGGATACTTTCTTGCAGACTAGACATTCACAATAACATTATTGCGAAGTTCCTATCAAGATAAATTAGCACTCTGATAACTTCCTGCAAATGTAATTAGAAGCGATTATTTTCCAAGCGCTACAGAAAATTACTGATAACAATGAAGAAAAAAGTAACAACTGAGAGTGAGAATTCCGAAAAAATAATCCCATCGCAAATACTTTAATTCTACCAATTCATTTCTAAGTGAATGCAATGTTTTATTGTCTATCAGACATTATTACACGAAAGTTTGCCATATTTATTCAGTTCAAAGTAACCAAACATAAAATATAGAGCGTAGAGCGAGAAATACGCACAAAGAATTCTTGCGAGCAAAAATTTTCCCACAAATAGTTTGCATCATATTTACATGCGCTCTAAATTGCGAGTATATTACCTACATAACTTTGGAAGAAGTAACAATAATGAGAATTTGTGTTTAAAGATATATCGAGCATATACAAATTCAGTGAAATGTCACATACAAGGCACATTACATTCAGTGTAAAGGATTTGAAATTTTTCAACCTTTTGAGCACAAATTTCTAGATTTTAGAAATGAAGTTTTGTAGTTTGTTTATCCCACCTTACTATGTGACTCTCTCTACTGCTGACGTGAATCAGCACCTTCTATCACGATAAATTAGCACTTTGATAATCAACTGCAAATATAGTTAGAAGCGAATATTTTCCAAGCGCTACAGAAAATTATTCATAACAATGAATAAAAAGAAAAAGGAAGATTTAACAAGTAAATTGATCTTTTTGCACGATAAAACTGATTTTTTCGCGCTTAGTGACATCAGAAAAAAAAGATACTGAAACCCGTTGTTATTAGCACATAACATTTTTAATACATGAGCTTTACAATAAATTAAAACGTAAATTGCTTGTGTAAATAATAATAATGTACAACGAAGTTTGCAGCAACAAAAAAAAGTTGCCAATACTAATAGAGACAAAAATAAAGACTTGAGCTGGTGAAAATGGAAAATTTGTTGCAAAAAAGAGATGGTGACAAAGTAATTACAAAGACAGCTTAGTTTTTTATTTCCCTTTATTGCAATGACATATTAGTGAGCGTGGGAAGCTGATTGAACAACGAAACCTGCAGATAATACCTAGACAAGCGAAGAAATAAGCCATGAGTGATCATCTCCTTGAAAGCTTGCAATAAATTTCTACCATTCGAATTTATGGTTTCTCGTTCTCCTTTGGCTGTTTTGACGCAGCTGATGACTGTAACACCAAGAAGTTTAAAAATTGCGATAGTGACACTTTTAGATGAAAAAGAAACGCAATAGTAATGCAAATGCTACTTTTTCAACTATAAGTTCAATGAATTGTACTAATATAAACACATCATACAAATTGGATTTCACAAGACTATAGAGCAACACTAGTTATTAAATGAGTACTTTGGTTGCACTGTCAACTATATATATCAAAATAGGTAGAATTATCTTCGGATAACATAGAAAAAATGATAAAGTATCAAATTCAAGATTTTATAGAATGTTTGTAAGAAACCTGTACTAGTATTGTAGGCTGCCCTTTCCTGCGTACTCTATACTGTGAAGGTAATTGTGATGCTGTTGAAATAGACATCGATAAATCCTGCTCTTCAGATGCACGCGAACGTTGTCTTTCCATCGCTGCACGACCTGAAAGCAATGAATTGAAATATCCAATATTAAACTAGTGCAGTTTAAAAACAACTTTTCTAGTACTCTTTAATTTTAACCCTACAAGAAACAAATATCAGTCTTGATAGCTTACCAACACGAGTACGCGGTGTTCTTTTGGGTGTTCTTCGTTCCACCCCCTCTAAATATCCTGCTTCTAATATTTTCTCAATCTCATCCACAACACCCGAATCTTGCTTTCCTAAAATTGGATTCTGTTTATAACTGTTTAATTTCGATTTTTCTTCTCTAGAACACACTAAGAATCAATATTAATTACTATTAAAATACCTAATTCCATCTCAAATGACATTACTTCAACCATACACAACACTGTAAACTCTATATTAAAAGATGTGAACCAAATGATTGAGACCGCAAGCTTAAAAATAAAAATCACTCCTATTATTCATAGTAGGAAACGGAAACAGCATATTCAAACTCTAAATTACTTTCAAAAATAATGTCTTGACCACAAATCAAAAATATCAACATTTCTAACTATCTCTTCTTTTCCAAAACTTTCTAAAAAATGTCATCGATATAATCCCGATCAAACTGGTTTGACATAAAAAGTAAGCAAGCATATGCAATATTGATGATATTAATGCTCAACTGAAAGTCTTCTTCAAAAAATTTGCTATTTAACATACCTGTTTTTAAAATGCCATCGATAGCTACTGTACGGTTTAACGGCGATGCTGAAACTCTTGGCTGCAAAGGTTTCAGAGGTGCTCGTTTTTTTCGCTGTTCTTCACGCTTTTTCAATTCATCCTTTCTCTCCATTTCATAAATAACTTTCTAAACGTGCAACATAATATCATGATATTACAGTTGATTCAATATGGAGTTTCCAATATTTAACATTTTAATTAAAATGTCACATCACTTCGATTTTTTTCGCGCTTACTTTTTAAATTTCCCAGAAGTCTGAACCTGAATTATTTCCATCTAACTTATTTTAGACTTTATTTTCTATATGCCTACCTCATAGCTCTCTTTAAACAATTTCAAATCTCCAAAAAATGATTCCATGCTATATTTTTTACGATCGAAGGAATAATATTTACTGAGTGAATTCCATTTTCTGTTCATCGTATTATACATCTGCAAATAGATTTTTTTGCACTTGAATGCATTAAAAATTCGTGGTACGTTTGAATATTTATAAACGCTATGATATTTTGATCAACCTTTTCAATGATTTCACATTCCGTCTTTGCTTTCAGTAAAAATGGATTCATTTTTTCCCCAAACAAATCATTGCTTTCCTGTTTAACAAAAGTTTTGAGTTGATTTTCCATCTGCAAATGTTTACCATTAAAAACAAAGCCAAAAGCACGGACTAAAAAATTTACTTACGAAAGTCTGTCTACATTATAGAACTGAACTAGCTAAAGTACGGTAAATCTATTGATGATAAATGCTGATCAAATACGGAAATTAAGACAACTTACCTTAGTAATGCTATTTTTAAGAGCCGTAACGCCTCTGGCCACCTCGTCCGCATTAACACGCGAAGCTTTATCAATGTGAAGGAATTCATCTTTCGGAAAGTTTGCATAAACACCATTTGCTTCTGTACTCATGCAATTTACGAGGTAATGTAAAAGTGATTCGTTATTTTCAACATCTTTTGTATCACTTAACTGAAATTTAATTCATTTTAGCATCAACAATATTATTTCATTAAAATCAAGTTTTCAGTTATACCTAAAAATTCACAGAAATTGAAGCATGCTATTGCAAGAGAAAAACTTTGAACCTTTGTTAATACACTCATTTCAAACCCAAATGTATCCTTATACGTCTTAGATGAATGCCCCATGTAATTCCCAACCAAAAGAACCATTTCCAAAAACATTTTGAAGCCATTAGATGTTCGTATTTCATCGCATGCCTCAATCACAGCTGATATATTCTAAAAAGTCATTCTACTTAGCAAATCAATTAAATTTCGAAAGTAATATTGAAACAGAACTGAAGTATCTATGAGCAAATTTTTTACATTATGCTGGCATAAAAACTTATAAATTTGAAAACCTGGAAAAAAAACTTATGTAAATAAACGAACTGGTTTCAAGTCATTGACTGTCTTGTCAAATTCCAACATGAAAATCATCGAATCTAAGCGAGCAGGAAGTCCCTTTATGGAAGCTAATGTTGCAGCGAACTAAAAAATATGATTTGAGTTGGAAGAATCTCCAGCAGCTCAAAATTTGAATTTGTAACATTCATAATTTTTCTATCTCGTAAAAATGGAAATGACAGAACGACATAAAAATTAAGAAACACCTGCTCGCCTTCAGGCATTTCGTTCCATTTACTGCTTGCTACATCTTGAAGTTTCTTCAACAAATCAGGAGGCGGTAAAGCATTCCGTAACTGCTGCATTGTTCCCGAAGATATTACTTTATCATCTATTTCCAAAAGAACTCGTTTCCATTCCATGAGTTGCAACTTCTGTGAGCCTTGCAGAATGGCTTTAAAAATGATATGAATTTATTCGCAAAAGCAAAGTTGTTTGCATTACCATTAATGAAAATTTAGAGAAAAAATCTTTTCGTTAAATACTCAAAAGCATTTTTTCCTGAGTCTTTTTAATTAATAATAAATAATTATTAATGAACTAAAATCAAAGAAAACGATGTGCGAAATGCACATACCGAGAGCCTGCAGGATCTTCTCATCTTGAATAACTAGTGGTTTCCGGATCTTTTTTTTCGGCAAGCTCTTTCCACTCGTAGTTGTGTCAGAATCAGTATTACTTTGTCGACTAAAAATGAAGCCAGTGTGCGATTCCGTAATTAACTGGTATTCTTTTATTAACTAATGAACCGAATGAATTAAAACGCTTGACTGTATTTATTTTCTGATGCATACTTCATATTATTTGTAATTTGTTTATTATTATTACAACTCCACAGTTGGACATGTTTACTTATGTAAATAAATGGAGTAAAAATAGATACATGCAATGTATTGAAAAAATAATTAAAATTTAGCCCTAAAAACCGAATAAGAAAAAGTAAATTCTAACCTCGACGAAAATTTTTTCTTCAGTGTTTCAAACAATCGTTCATTTGCATATTTCTCTTCCATTGTGTGCGCCCAAAAAGATTCTTTATCGATTTCTTTTGGTTTAATCTTTAAAAAATAGATTCTTTACACTTTTGTTTTTTAAATTCTCTTTTATGTTCTAAAACAATATAACAAATGCTTACTGTTGCTGAACTCCACGGAATTTTTTTCATTGGTACATTTACTTCACGACGAGGTTTCTTTTTCAAGTATTCTGGTAATTCAGGACTCGACACTTTAGATAAAAATCCAGGTGGGGGTGGTGGTGGAGGTGGTCCAGATGAACCTTTTACACCTTAAAGTAATCTTTAGGAAGAAGTTCAAGTGAAATGAATATGCTTATAAAACAAAATAAATTTCATCTTAAAAACAAAAAGCAAAACAAATCTACCAGGTAGTGGTGGTGGAGGAGGAGGTGGAGGCGGTGGTGGAGGTGGTGGTGGACTACTACTATGGGCAGAAAGGAATGGAGGTAACGGTGGAGGTGGTGGTGGTGGTGGGCCACCTGTAATCGGAGGTAACTTCTTTTCCGTCATCTCAGAGTACGTATCAGGTGGGGGTAGAAGGCTTGTTGGTGGAGGAATTGCTACATTAGGATCATTTATCTGGAAAAAATACAAAATTACTGATCAATTAATACTGAAATAAAAACAAAAAAAAGTTTAAAAAATTTTTAATATATTTTAGGAAAATCAGTTATAAAAATTACGTGTTTTCGAAGCATTTCAGTTTCCTTTGCAAACTCTTCCATTCTTTTGTAGTACTGGCTCAACTTAGCTAAGGCTTCATTTTTAGCTTGCGTGGCTCTTTCAATACGTTTATTAACTTGTTTTTCATCATCACAATCCTCTAATGCATCTAGAAAACACTGTATTTCTCGAGAAATTATCCAGTAAGTGGTGTAAAGAGAATTCAGAAAATAACACGACTTATGCATTGTTAATAACAGAATTCCTGTCATTTGTGATGAAAAACATCAGATTATCAATAATAAGGAAACTGACTTTTTGAGATATAGAAAGACCAAAAATTATTGGAACTTACCAAAAAAGTGTGTGACATCTTGAGTGAATTCGAATTTTCCTCGGAAATCAGGATCTACACATGTTTTAGGTAGGACTATTTCCGAAATGCAGTTTTCAATTAGTCGCAAATACTTTGTCCTGAAAAACAATATGTTGGTTCAACAAAGAATTGTAAATCATATAAAACAGTTAACAAGAAAATGAAGTATTAAAACTATATTTCGAGTTATATTTCAATCCATTAAATAAGTGATTACTTTACGTCAATATCGTCTGTAACAAGCAAAAGATGCTGCAGAATACTCAAAAACGGTCCCTGAGCCTGAGTGTTCTTCACACCAGCAAGCAAAATGTTGTAGCAGCAGTCTGGTTCTTCATAATCTCCTTTTCTAAAACACGCCATTTTAAAAATTAAACGTAGAGCGATTAGGATACATTTTCGAATACAATTTAAAACACATTTAAAAATTTTCTGAGCTATTAGTTCCTCCTACTGAAGAAAAAGTGATTGACTGGGAACAAACATTTGTTCGAATCGATTTACTAGCTCCGCAAAATCAGCTTCCTTAATACGGCAGAAATTATCATACTGTTTCCTGACTGCTTCCAGCGTGCAACTTTCCAAAAACTTCAAAAAATTCCTCGTCACACAAATTTATCACAATCAGAAGTTATTTCACAACTGATACTAGTTCAAATTTTTAATTCCTTAACTTGGCTTATTTTCTGAACAACAGCCTTTGAGTACTAGTCAAATACTCTAAATTCTGGCAAAACAGAATTCTAAAATTATATGTTTCACATATTTCATATAAAATTAGATCTTCATAATTAGTTCCTCGAATAATTCAGAAATTAAAATACAACTGAATCCAACCTCAACACAATCATACATGCCAGCACGCATAAATTCACTTCTCCAATGCATTCGGATTTGCCAAGCCGCCTCTGCTGAAGCTCGACCTTCTTCCGTAGTTGTATCATCAGGCTCTGGTACATCCAGCATTACATTCACCAGTGTCATCGCTTTCTTCTGAAAATTAGAGAGAACAGAAATGAAGCCAAAATCATTCAAACTCAAAATTCTTAACCAGAAATAAAACTTACAACCACATCAAGACGATTTGACTTATTTAAGCAACTGACAATACAACGAAACCTATCGCAATTTCTTCTTTCAGCTTCCTTAGTTAAAGCTTGCAAAAGAGTTTCTCGCCTAAAATATTTAAAATAAATAAATTTTTAAAATCATAATTGTAAATTATGGACATAAAATAATCACCATTTTAACTCATTAGTTAGCAGCTGAAAAATTCTTAATTTATACAAAGAAAAAAAGAAGAAAACTCACCCTCTCAGTTCAAATTTGTCATCATTCACAAAAGTGACGACACTCAGAAGACTAACTGTTACAAACTTTAATGAATCCCAGTGATCCGAAGATGGTTTACCCGATGCTACAGACAGTGCTCCAACTAAACATGGAAACATACTTGACTGACGTCTGAAGCACATTTCCATTCCAGGCTAAAAAAATAATACTTTGTGCTGTTCAGAATATTAAATTTAATAAAACAACTACATTATTCTCTTCTTATTGTTGAACAAAAGAAGTCCCAAAGTAAATCTGAAATATTTTTAAACTCACCCATGTATTAACAACGGACTTCAAACATTTGACGCTATCATGAAGTTGTAAAACATACTCTTCTTCTCTTTCTAAATTTTCTGATAACTGCAGTGCGTCAATGAGATTAAACATTATGTTGAACAGTAACTGAAGACCACCTTGATTGCCAAACTAGAAATGTAAGTTTAATATTTTGTACTTTACATCAGTTTTTAATGTGACAAACAACTCTAGACAATCCTCACTTCTACACTTGCAACTTCCAATGCAAAAATCAACTGAACTTTTGAATTTAAAATTTTCTTGTACATCAGTTACATCTGTGACCAGAACTTTATCATCACCTGTTGACGGTAAGCAAAAGATCTGTCACGATATAACCGTTATTGATAATTCAGTTACATCGCAGCACATTTATATAATATATTTCGTACTTTACATGATAAAATCCCAATTTAACAAAAAGCTGTACTTCTTTGATCCAATCCACTTTTTGAACACTGAGCTGAACTTTTAAATCTTTCAGTACGTCCTTCATTAATCTCGTCTCTTCCCATGACGCTAGTACTCTTTCAATTCGTCTAATTAAATCGATAGGTCTCTGGAAATTATTATTACAAAGCAAAATAAAAACCACCTAATTATTTTCAGAAACTGCTCTATTTTTAACAGTACAAAACTGAAGACAGTAGAATATTTATGAAGAGTACCTTGGAATTTTCTTGAGTTGCCATATTCAGTCTCTGAGATTGACTAACCATTTGCCTCTTTTTTTCCATATCATTATCTGCTAATAAGGCACGGAATTTTTCATCTTTGATATTCATTTGTTTCTGAAATTTCATTTATTAAAGTTGAATATACTTGTAGTTATTTACAGTAAATGACAGCTATTTATGCTTATAATTATTTATTGTGGATCTTGGATAATCTATAAATTTTCTGAGAGTGTGATTATTAAAATCAAAATTTCATATTCTCAAGCAGTAACTAATTATGCAATCTGTAATTTTTCACGTCATAAAATCTGGACATTTAATTTACGAAAAAAATTTTAACATGAGAACTACACAATGAATTATGCAATATTCCAAAAAGTTGACTAAATAATTTATAAATTTCAATTTATTTCTAAATAGAGAATAAAATTCACGAGTAATTCTGCAAAAGCTGCATTGATTTGATCATCACTCATTCGATTCACTTCATAATAATTTGATTCCATTACAGTTTTGCTTGTTTCTGGAAGACTTGCACAAGATACTTCTGGCTAAAAAGTAAGCAGTAATAAATAACTCTTGTTCACAAACTCATAAAAAAATTTTAATTATTGCAGAAAATCGTATTCATTGAGCGGAAGTAGCACGATGAAATGACAAATATCATAGGAATAGAATTTGGAATTCAGTACTGTTGTAATTAAATTTGATAAGTCAAATTATATGATACTCTGAAATTTTCAATAATCAAAATTTGAAATCTCCCGCTCTATGTAGTCAATATTTCGTTGCTGACAACTGCAACGAAATGAAATTTGAAAATTATAACTAATGCCGTAAACTTTCCGAAAAAAGCCTTTGCAATAAAAATTAAAATCAAACAATAAAAAAACTGTTAGACATTGTATAATAAGATGAATATCCTTGAAAAATCGATTAAATATTCAAAAAAAAGTTTATTTCACACTACTTTTTAAGAAGTATAGAATATTTGTGAGGAAGAAAACATTTTTCAGCTGATTTTTCTTTGAACAATAAATATGCAAATTTTTTGAGATTTAATAAAATTAAGATGATAGTAATAAAGTGCAAATTTCAAAAAGAATTGATATCAAAAGAGCACAAACAAACCAATGATCGAATAGATAAGCTTGAAAACATATTTGCCTGATGGCCATTTTCTTGGCGAAAACTTCGCAAACTTCCGCCATCTTTTACTCTATGTTTCTTTGAACCAAACATAGAATCAATCTAAATGTTATCACTGAATGATAGAAAATACAACGTAACTAAACACCTATCACATAGTCCTCAATAATCATGATGATTACAATCATGATTTTTGATTATATAATATATATAATAATATAAACACCCACCATTATGATTTTTGATTATATATTTACATTAATTTATACATATATGTATAAATTAATTTTTTGATTTTTCTACTTCTTGTCTCAGAACTAAAATATTAAAAATTACTTGCATGCAAATTTAGCAAACAATGTTCATTTCTCTCATGTATGTTATTATCATCTTCATAATACACAATAATTGTAGTATAAATAAAAAAAATACATAAAAATATTAATAACTTTCAAACTTTATGAGAGAATTTTGATATAACTTTTAAAAAGAGCCGACAGGGAAATTCAAATGAAAAAAAGAACACGAAATACAATCGCGCATAAATATTTAAATTTTGCCAATGACAAAATCCCTCGCACTTCTTTTTTTTCAGCAAAAATTTTTTTCTTTTCTCTTTTTCTTCTGCCCTTCCTTTCTCTCTGATTTGCATTTACCTCTCTTTTATTAGTTCAAAATTTAGTCTTTAGGAAAAGAATGAGAGTACATGAAAGAGATAAAGACATTTTAAGAGGATAAAGAAAGAAAAGATTGAGGGAGATTTGCGCAGAGTCCTTGTGAATATGCAATATTATCTCGTTTTAAGCCACAATTAATTGAGTCTTATCTACAAAAAAAAAAACAGAAAAAGGAGAAAGGCTCAGTTAGGCTATAGGTCATCAGGTTATTTAATCTTACTATTACTAATATTAGGTTAATTTCAGTAGTATTCAATATCCATTTCTCTATCACTACCTTCCCGCCTTCTATTATGAATGAATTGAATAAAATTCATGTAATCTTTTTGCTTTCAAAATCATGCAAATAAGAACGCATTCAAATACTAAGTAATAAATGGAATTGAAATATGAACTGTCTTATATTTGATGCTATCAAAAAACTTTTTAAATTATATTTATTATTATAAATAACAATGTAACGAGTGTTGAAATGAAGCAATGAAGGCCAAAAGCAAATTTATTCTGTCGGAAATATAAAAATGTGCATGTGACAGGGTCACTGCATAGGTCACTGCCATGCAAACAGACAGATGAATCGTTGACCTTTGAACTCACTGTTTGATGGATAAATGATCATCAGAGAGCAGAGGAGAGAAAGGGGAAAATAATTGAAAACTATATTTTAGGATACAATTTTTCTTTCCTTTTTCAGTATAAATAAATTACTGTCCTTTCATCTCATCTTTTCCTTTTCTCTTATTTTTCATCTTCATCCGTTCATTCATGCCGACTTAAAATGTACACTACTTATTGTTCTACAAATAGACTTACATCTACATGTACCCCTATGATTTATATACTTAACTTATGTCATACATGCACACTTACGTATGTAATATTATGAATATATTTTAGTAAGAAGAAAAACTTGAGAACTGAATTTGATGAATTGAGATATAAAATGAATAAATTAAGTGAATCTCATAACATTTTTTTGTTTAAGATAGAGATTTCAAATCTTAGTAAAGTATTTTTAAACTATAAGTCAATCAGACATAAAACATGATGTAGAAAGCGAGAAGAGTCGAAACATATAAAGAGCACGCAAACATCACGTGTAGAAAGGTACTAAGCATGAAAACATCACATAAATAATCTCAAAAAGACTATATTTGAATTTCAGATATATAAGTTATAATCTATGAAGTTACACTTCCTAACAAGTTTCCTCTGAGTATTAACTAAGGATATACTTTTTTGTGAGCACTAAACAGTAAATATTTACAATAATTAATCATCGGAGAGATGAAATGAAAATGTGTAGAAAAAATTAATAGAATAATTTTATACTAAGGAGCCAATTATTAATTTATTAATAATTTATTCATGAATCAATTAATAAACAGCAATCATTTAACAGATTTTTGACATGAATTTGCCGTCATACGATGTGTTTAGAAAAAGAATAACTGGCAGAAATTTAAATTTGTTTGAAGTTAAATTTGCAAAAGATGTGCACAAGTAATAGTTGATAATGCTTTAATTCAAACTTTTTAAGAGTGATCACAGAGACTTAAAATTAAACTGATCAGTTAAATTTTGATTCAAGTTTTTAAACAATTATGGATTGATCCACTTATCAGATTCTACAGTTTATACACAATGTTTTAGTTTTTTATGAAATTATTATATCTTATTCTTAAGCACACGAATTTTTGATAAAAAGTCATCGATTTCTTTCTTGTTTATGATATCAAACAAAAATTATAGATTTGAAAATATCAATAAGCCAAACAACCAATCAATCGAAACAAGTTTTAGCTATGTCAAACTATCATTACTGATTGTGAAGTGATAATAAATTACAATATCACAGATTGCAATTAACATCAATAATTTTTCTTTTCTATAGTGAATAATTATAGTTCAATTATATTTGTGCTATTTACAATATTCTTATTTGCATGCATAAGAAATACAGTAATTAATTAGCATTGATATATAAAATGACAACGAAGAAATTATACCGTCACTAATTTGTGTATACAAGTATGAATGTTTATGAATATGCATCCACTGAAATTGCTTTAGTCTTGCTTATTTTAAATCATGCTGCTAAAGCTTGACAGAGTATTATAATATTTTATACTGTAAAGTACTCGATAATTAATATCTTAAGTTAGTAATATGCATTTAGTAAATTCATCATAATGCTGTAAATGTAAACTTTCAATATCTTTCTAAAAGAGAATAGGAAATGAATAACATAACATACTCTCTCCTCGTGTTCATCCTTTCAAAATTAACATAAATTAGTGACAAAAAGCTTTGCATTTCATTTTTTCATTGCACAAACACAAACATTACTAATTACTTTTTGAATATTAATTTATAAAACTATATTTTGCGTGCAGAAAGAAGAAGAATAATACTGAAATGGAAAGTAACAGTCGCTGCAGTGATGTTCGACTGATTGCTCAATTTCTTTTCTTCAAAGTTTCACTCACACAAATGGAACAATTCTAATATTACTATAAAACTATAGTGAGAGTAAACTAGTTTCACTATAACGAACGAGAATGAAGAAGAATGCTTGAAGGCTTTTCATTGTCACACATTTCCTGTTATATTATACGTATATATATATATATATATATATATAT